GTAAAAGTAAAGTTGCTCCTGTGCTTAATTAAGCACCATGCCATGAGGACATATTTAGGAGTGGAGGTATAGCTGAACCATTTTGGCCTCAGCAGTAGATGGAGGTGAGTGGTCAGCTTTCTGCCCTAATTGCTTTACCTCCAGGAAATCGTTTCCAGTACCTATTTGATAGGAGGCTGGGTGGGCCCCAGAACCAGACCGAACCCTGTGGAAATGAGAAAAATCTTCCACTGCCGGGAATCGAACCCAGGCTGTCCAGCCTATAGCCCATCATTATACCAGCTGAATTATCCCAAATCCCAGGGAGGGTGTGGACTGGATTTATTTGGCTCAAGTAGGACCAGTGGCTGCATCTAATGGGCATGGTGCTAAAACTTCAGATTCAGTAAAAGGCGAGAAATTGCTTCACTAGCTTCTCATTCATTCATTCATTCATTTATTTTTCGTTCCATGGATCCACAATACAAGTGAGATATAGGACATGTCCATACAGTGATTATTCTTAAAATTAATAGAGCAAGAGCTAAGTACATAAATAAAAAGGTATAAAATACAAAAATTGAAACAAAACATGTAGGATCAAGTAGATTCCAGTCATATAAGTTAATTTAATAAAACATGCAGTTTAAATTTAAACANTTGGAGGATAAGAACTTTAGGTTAATGTTTGGGAAGGGAGTCTTAAAAGACTGCAATAAATAATGCAAGGGAGTAATGTCATCTAATTTCTGAAATTTAGGGTCATTATGATCAATATTAATATTTGTAGCTATGGATAGAAAATATTTATTAAATTCATTGGCTATCACATGTTGGTTGGTGATTGAGATCCCATCAATATTTAAAGTTATAGCCTTATCGGCACTGCTAGTTCTATTTGTTTCAAGTTTAATTATATCCCATATAGTTTTATTCTTATTCAGGGATTTATTGATTTTATAAGCGTAGTTTAGCTTTTTTGATTCTTTAATAACAGCTGATAAAATTTTACAATATTTGTTATAATAGTTTTTAAGATCCGGATTATTACCATCTCTACATGCTATGTAGAGTTCTCTTTTCCGTTTACAGGAAGTTGTAATTCCTAGGGTAACCCAATTTTTTTTATTTCTCAAGAAGGATTGTGCTTCATGGGATTAGTTAGATAATATAACAGCCATTGTGGACCAAGCAGATAAATGCATACAGACTTCTAGTTGGGGTATCTCCTTCAAAGCAGCTGCTAGGTAGCCTGGGATGCAAATAGGATGACATTCAGCTGGATTGTATTTCCATCATATTAGAATTAAATGTCTGATGTGTGAATTTGACCCCCATATTATTATAATAATGTCTAATATGTGCTAATGATATCCACGGTATCTATAAATATATAATTTTCAAAGCTATACCAGTCCATGTGGCCCACCTGATCCTCCCAAATTACACATTGTAGAAACATTTGTCAAGATAAAAAATGTTCCTCCTGGAGAGAATTGTTAACATTGCTCCTCTATGCATGGGTCCAAGCCAGCATATTTGCCCATTACGTCTTCCATATGAAATATTGAGACTGAAGCAACAGTGGATCATTGCCAGGATCTGGGGGGGGAAATATCTGTCTTTCATTGTTGCAAGGGGAAACCTAACTATCTTCTCCTGTTACTAGAATACAGGGGGGAATCCCAAGCTATCTTGCTGGTGCTAGGATGCAGAGGAAAACCCAGATTATCTTCTGCTGTCACTAGTACAGAGGCAAAAACTCAGACTCTCTTCTCCTTTTGTCAGGATTTGGGCACTGTCTTCTGCTATAAGTACTCTAGGATGAAAACTCAAAGTGTCTTCTGTCTTTCTTAGATAAGGAGGAGCAATGATGGTAGCAGGGACTTATAAATGGGATGGGCGTGTGGGGAGAGAAATGGAAGTGGATGAAGGTATGGAAGAATAGAGGTGAAGGAGATGGTTGGATTTAAGATTGGGAAGGGAGGAAAGAAGAGAAGGGAATGATGATGGGATGGGTAAGAGGTGGAAAAGATGTAGTGGAGAAAGAAGCCAAGAGATAAAAATATGGAAGAGGTATAAGAGAGAAAGAGGTGATTGTCCCGTTCAAGTTTGATGGATACTGTAAGTAACCACCACAAACAACGAAAATTATTTCTGGAATTGTAGTGCAGATTTTTCTGCATGGGCCTACTAGCTAAAATTGTGTAGTGTGATGAGTGCTTGTAGCCTCTATAATATTAGGATCATAATATCTGGTGTGTGAGTGTGGCTTCTGTTAAATATTAGTTATAATGTCTGATGTGTGATTGTGGACTCTGTATTATATTAATCATAATGCCTGATGTCTTGTTGTAACCTACATAATATTAGAATCATATTGTTTAGTGTATGATTATGTTCTTCATAATGTTCAAATAATAAAGAAAGATATGTGATTATGACATTTATAGTATCTGTTATGTGATCATGACTTCCATAATATTGGAATCTTAATGTTAGAACTTTAGTAATATTCAAATAATAATGACTGATGTGCGATTGAGACCTCCATAATGTTGAAATCATGTATGGTATGTGATCATGACCTCCATAGTATTAGGATCATAATGTATGTTTGTGACCTCCATAATATTTGGGCTGGCAGCACTGCATGTCAGTGTTCTGTGTGGAACAGGCAAAGTTTTAGGCTAAATAGTTACATCCTGATGTCCCAGGTTTCATTCCTGGAGTTTTGGAAGTTGCACACATATGTGGAATCTTTTTTAAGCAGTTTGACATAGTTTCAGTTGTCATAGAGGCTTGGAGAAATGTGTGGAAATATAAACACCATTCTTTATTTTTTAAACCTACTCTGGTTTCTTTTGATGCTGTATGTATAGTCTGAGTTGCTGGTGGCATTATTAAATACAAAATATAATTAAACCAGAATTCTGTGATTTATGACTTGGGGAATATTTCCCTTGGGAAATTCTTAGTACAGTGTTCAACCAGTTATATAGTATTCTTTGTTTTTTACATTCAGTAGGACATCGGTTGGCTTGTAGAGATAACACACACAGTCACAGGAGCAAGACACAACACAAAGCACAATACACACACGATAGTGAAAGAGTGCTCCAACAGAAGAGGATAGGTGTGACTCGCATAGTGAGATACGAAGTAGGGATGAAAAATTCTGAACAATTTTAATATTTTTAACATTAAACATTTATCAATATATATGATAAATATATATCATAGTTATTTTAATATGAAGACGACAAGGCATGCAATGAACTAGTTTAGCGTAAATCGAATAAGCACCTGAAGATGGCACTTTTGTGCCAAAACATGTAGTGCGAGTGAGAGGAGAGATAGATGAGTGTATGCACTGGAAGACGGTTGAAATAAATCATGGACTTAAATCAGTGCAATAGGACGCTAAAATATAACAACATTCCCATGTTTTGGAAGTTCAGAAAGTTCTCTATACTCATGATGTCCCAACTAGGGCCTTGACATATTCCATACAATGACAGATCATGTGAACATTTAAAATGCTTCGCAGCAGTGCATGAAACAATAAGTAATAAATGCAACAGAACTATTATATAAAATGGTGTACATTTTAAGTTATGTGTATACATATACAGAGTCTTTCTTGAAAGACTGCCCTGACTGAGAAGACCATGCAAGCGATAACTGAATGTGCTTTAAGTGACAAATGGATGGGGGAATAGAGGTCAGATAGTGCTACTGTGCACTGCATCTGTTACTGTATATTCTGTAATGCTTTGAACCCAGCTGCAACAGCTCAGCAGGCACAGCTTTTGACTGCAACAGTATTTAAAATAACTGAAAAGAAACATCTACTGTCATATAAAATTAAAGAGTTTCAGGCAGTTGAAAGTGATTACAAGAGGCGAATGCATTTTTGTAACTGTTTTGCAGGCAGTATGTGATGGTAAGGGGCATGCGGTAGCATAGTTTGTTGAGGCACTGTGGTACAAGCCGGAAGATCATGGGTTCGATTGCTAATGAGGTCATTAGATTTTTCAGTTTACCTAATGATACCAGCAGCACTATGGCCCTGGGATCGACTCAGTCTCTAACAGAAACGAATACCAGGAATCTTGCTGGTGATAAAGGGTGGCTGGTGCGTAAGGCTGATAACTTCACCTCTATCTGTGAGCCATTTGTCTGGAAGATGTGGTAACCTTGACCTCTCACAACCCTATGGGTCTCCATGGCCTGTTGCAGGGATAGCTTTACCTTTTTACGTGATGGTATTTCTAACCAAAAGTTACACTCTTTTTACTGATGAAGCTTGGTTCCATCTGAGTAGGTATACAATAATACTTAAACCAGAAGGTCCTGAAGCAATACTTTTCTGACCCAACTTTTGAAGTATCTCTTCACCGTCAGATGATTGGTGCGTGATGTGCCATTAATGCTATAGAAATAGTAGGGCCTGTACTTTTTGAACAGACTGTTAATTCTGAGCAGTATTTCATTGACATTCTTCTGACCTTTTGAGAGCATTATGGATGAAGAAAGGACATATAGTGATTTTGTGCAAGATGGTCTTACAGCCATGCATTGCTAATTATTCCATTAATGTTCTAAACAGGGTGTTTGAAGACAGCCTGATAAGTGAGAGATTGTGGCCTGCAAGGACTCCAGACCTAGATCCATGTGAACAAAGTGTAGTCAAATAATCTCCACTCACTGGATGAACTAAAGCACAATATTTGTGAAGCAATTATATCTGTTGGGGGCAGTGAACTCTTACCCATATCCATGCTTATAATGCCCAGTGTATTAGCAGCAAATATAGACCTTGACTTTTTGGCAGGTTACATGTTAGGTTCTGGCTAACAGGCCAGTGGTAAGAGGGTCATGTGATTCAGCTCTTTGAGGAAGACTGTGTATAACTCACTGTACACAGTATCTCATTCCAGAAGACTTTATCTTATTATGTATGCATATGACTGTCATTCATTTGGGATTTGTGACATGATTTGGTCCTTTCTTTGTAGTAAGCTGTGGAATCAAAGGAATAAGCCATGGAAACAGAACAGGTATTTGTGGTTGTTGCCTAGAAAACAACTAATTATACATATATGCTCTTCAGAGTAGCTTGAATATTTGGCAGCTTTGCTTCCTAATTACCTTGCATGGTCCAATTTGTGTAATGTTGCATGATATTTTATATTTACAAATGCAGGCTTCAGCAAGTCTGGTTAAGTTTTTTTTTAATGCCACAGTGATATGGGTAAGCAAAATATCCATTCAGAGGCTTGTCACCATTGTGGTCTGTCACCCATATTTGTTGAGTCTGCATTATTATGAAGTTGTTTAATTATTTCTGATTACAAAATTATGTCATGCCTTAATATCAGAAGTAGATTATAGTAAACCCTCATTATAACAGACTAATAAGAAGGCAGGGTGTCTGCTGTCACCAGTGTCCGCTATCACCAAGTGAAGGTGTATTCACAGAAGTACACCATAGGATACATAGCCAGTACATGTAGTAAACATAGAAATATACAGTGTGATTACATGCAGGTTTTTATATTATTTTTATTTCAATTGTTTTTAACTACAAAACCTTTTTAGTGCCTCACTGTCTCTTTACAGTCATACACATCCAGATTTTGTCCATTATATCTAGAGTCCGTTATAATGAGGATTTGCAGTACTTGTAATTTTAGTTTTAAATTTTAGTTCTCTGTGTTTTAATATTCAACTTTTACACATAAGAGCCATTAGATGTGTTCTACTATGAGTACATACTTACTACTCGATATTAATTTATAATAGCTGTAACTTATCTTGTCATACTTGTGAATAGGTAGAGTATATATATAGTATATCTTTAATGCATTTGATATGGCTGAAGTGACCCTTTTTTAAATTAAGGGTAATGATTTATACTTTAAGGATACCTTTTGCAAAGGAAAGAAAGGAAGCGTCTGCAATTAGGTATGAAAATTTACTTTATGTTTTATTTTCAGACGTGTTCAGAGACCATCAGTAATGTTCAACAAAACAAATCTTCATCAAAACTCAGTCAGACAAAGACACCAGCGGCACAAAATCAAGGTCAGCCAAGTGTTGGTGGTGTAACGAGGAATACAAAGCTCCAGAAACCCAAAGAGGGCAGAGAAGCATCTGTGCCAGAACAAGAGTCAGAACAACGACCTTCAGCGGCCTTATCGACTAGAAGAATTAAAGATAAAACAGAGAAAAGTCAAAGTTTGAATAAAGAAGGCAGTGACAAAGAGGAACCCAAGAAACAGAACAGAAAGAAGAATAAGACATCTGTAGATATAACGCACAAGCATAGTCATGCTTTGTTGGAAAGGGAAATTGAAAATACTGATAAGAGATCAGAAAACATAGCAAGAGAAGCTAAGAATAAGAAAGAGCCATTGGACCAAAAAGTTGTATCTCTTGGTTGTTGTGGTTCAGATAAGGAAAAACAGGGAGTGTTACATGGCAAGGTCGTTTCAAAGGCCGTCTCAGAAATAAGCAGGTCAAAAAAGCGAAGAATTAGAAAGAGGAGATTGTTGGAGTCTCTAGGTATTAACATCACTAACTCGGTCAAGCCAGCAAAAGAAAAAAGTGCAACCAGGAAGAGGAAGAAGAAAAAGAAGTTAAAGTATATTGCAGACAGAGATACTGTCAGAGAAGACTGTACAGCTGTGAATACAGTAAATTTGGAAGTGACAAGCAGAAGTGAGGGAGTTAGGTGTGATGTAGTGGGCAAGAAAGGGTTTGTAAAAAAGGTTGGAGATATTGTCATAGAAGAATCAGACTGCACAGCTGTTAAGTTGGTGAGGAGAGAAATAACAAACAGAATTGATGAAACTAGTTGTGATACAGAAGAGAAGACTGCAGCTGTAAAAAATTGTGAAGATATTGTCATAGAAGAGTCCCTGCACAAAGACTGTACTGCTTTGAAATCAGTGAATGGAGAGGTAACAGGCAGAAGTGAGGAAATTAGTTTTGATATAGTGAGGAAGAAGGGTGCTGAAAGAGAGCCCGAAGATGATGTCATAGACGAATCAAACGATACTACTGCAAAGTCAGTGAATTGGGAAGTCACGAAGAGAAGGGAGGAAACTAATTGTGGTATAGTAGGGAAGAAAGGATCTGCAGAAAAGTCTGAAGGTATAGTCAAAGAAAAATCAGACTGTGCAGAAGTGAAGCTGGTGAGTAGGGAAGTAACAGACAGAAGTGAGCAGACTAGTTGCGATTTAGTAGGGAAAAGGCAAACTGTAAATAATTCTGAAGAAGCTATTAGTGTTGTGCCAAAACTAGGGGATTCTCATCCTACAGGGCCACCAGAACAAGTCCCAGAAGTAAATAAATCAAAATTAGAGAAGAATGTAAGTGCAGATACCTTACCGGAGGTGAAGAAAGGAAATATATCATTGAACAGCAGTGCTGCTGTTAAGGCTTGCTCCAGCTGTGAAGAGTTACAGTGTAATAGCGAATTTCCATCCTCCAGCTGTAAGGTTGCTTCAGAGGATATCTCAGGTCAGTTCTTCAGTAAGAAGGAAGAACCATCTGCATCGGGAAAGGTTGACCTTGTCAGTCTTCTCTACCATGACAATATTGAGGCACTTTTCCGTAGTGCTGTGCTTAATGATGTGACATTGTCATCCCGCTGCTCAGAAAAGGAAGTGAAAAACTTCTTCAATACGTATGGTACATTCTCCGAGAGAGGAAGAACTCAGTTTGCAGCTGTTGAGAAACTGTTGCACACCAGTGGTAAGGGGGCTGAAGACATACCTACATCAGAGTACTTTGAACCAGGACTGAATAAAGACATTCCTCCTGATGTAACTTCTCAAAATTCAGTTACCATTCCAGACAAAGAACCCAATCTAGATTCAAGTACTTCAGCATTTACATTGGTCAGTTCTCCGAAGCATGATCATTTTGCATTGAAAGACATAAAAGATAATGTAGATGTTGATGAACTAGGAACTGCATCCTATACACAAAACTTAGAAAATTGTTCCTCTTATAATCAGGTAGTTAAGGGACTGAAGCATACAGATTCTATAGGGAATAGTCTGGTATTCAGAGGTTTCTCTAGAGGACCAATTTATACAAGCCCTAATCCTGAGAACCATGTAACAAATAGTACCAAGAGTAGTCAGACCATAAACAGTGTGCACACAGCTTCTGTCTCAGATACGTATGAATCTTATAGTGTTCCCAGTGTGCAAAGACTTGATTCAGACTTGGTAGTTAGTGAAAATGATCTGTCAGTAAAGCAGCAGTTCACTTCAGGGGATAAGACACAGCTTTCTGAAGTTTGTAATGTGTCAGAACAAAGTCTTGCCTGTAGCATTAGTCCAAGAGTGAAGGACTCATACAAAGAGGAAGCCCTTGATAAAGCAAGAACCACAGAAGTAAACAGTGCAGAATGTCAAGTTAATTTTGTACATAAAAGTGATGTGGTGATTGAATGGAGGGCAACAGAAGAGGAGACTGTTACTGAATCTCATCCTTCTGCATATGTTGAAAGCCCAAAGGAGCAGAAACCCATTCCCATTAGACTGAACAACAACATTTTTAACACTGAATTGAAAGAGGACAGTGAGAATTGTCCAGATAAAATCCAGAGGAATGTTAATGTAGAAAAGTACAGGGCGACTGGTTTTGTTTCAGAATGTGCTGAAGATATTCAGGAGATTGGGTTTGAGGCTAATAAGGCCGTAGAAGGTGCACTTTCTTTAAGATCTGTAGAAGAGGGCCAAGGACCTGATTGTTGCTATCACATAAGTCCCACTGATGTTAGTTACCCAGATAGTCAAGGTATTGCTTGGAATGAATCTTGTTCTCCTGACTTTCATGCTGACTCTTATAAAAAGGAATGGACATCTTTACCAAACTCTAGTGTAACAGAAGTTTCAGATTCTGAAATTGTTAAATTCATATCCATTCCCTCATCAGAAGATAAAGTCATTATGAATCATCCACAAAGGAAACCATTGGAAAGTTCTAAAATCGGTAGACCGGAAAGAAGTAGAGAGGAAGTGTTGGCTGCACGTGAGGCCAAGAAAGCAGAAAAATTGGCTAGGAATAAGAATAAGTTGATGCTTTCGTCAAATGTTTCATCACCTGAGAATGTTGTTGTTTCCAAGTCACAATCTGTACCTAGTCCTAAGAAAATCAGACAGCAGCCAAAGTTGACCACTGAGGCTGGCGGACATGAGGCTGAATGTGTGGCAAAGGTTGAGTCAGTTTCTAAGAACACTGTACAGTGTCCAGGTGTGAAGCAGCTTCATAGTCCTTTGAGAGACACTAGCTACCATACATCAGAAATTGAGAACAAGATCCCTACAAAGAAAACAGAACTGAAGAAAAACAAAACAGATGAACTTCAGGAAGCAGAGAACAGAATTCCCACTAGTAGCACAAAGGAGGATGAAGTCAGTAAAACAACAAAAATTTTGGAAGAGAAAGTGAAAGACACTGATCATGGACCACAATCTTTGGGAGTATTACCAACCCCCAAAAGCAAGGCAGAACTTCGAGCAGAAAGAAGAGCAAAACAGGTAATATGTAGTTCAGAAATAAATAAATGAATATAACCTAAGAATCATGGATTATGGAGGGCCCAGATGGCATAGAAACTGCCAGCCTGACACATTACTACTGATTAGTGGCTGTGATGTAGCCAGCCACATGTCCCCCAAAGCCATATAGGCCTATATGTGCATGTAAATACACTCACATCTAGGTATAGAGTGGGGAGCCATGGTCTCCTATTCTCGTTATAGGAGCATTAGTCTCAGGTTGCCAAAGGTGTAGGAATTGGCAGTGAGGTTTTGAATTGTTAATGATGTTCGAGAACTCCTCTTAGGCATTTCATGAGATGGGGTTGTGGCAAAGGTCCACATTTCAGGACAGGCAAGAAGACATAGATGTCCTTTTTCTCCCACCTAAAAGCAGGCTGATGTTGACAGTTCTGGAGGAGGGCCCTTTTACAATGGCTAACTTGTGCCATAGAAATCTGTCACTGCAGCCACCATTGGTGAAAAATGTCAGAATCTCCCCAGGCATTGTCATTGTAAAATTGCTGCCTCCACAGTTTATAACTTTAGACTGAAAGACCCCAAGAAGTCCCATCAATCCACCATTTACATCTAGAGAGTTGTGGATGATGCTGCGAGAGTTAAAATTGCAGCATGATTAAAGAATATAATGCTCTTGATCAAAGTCCTCTGTGACAAACAAGAAGTACTTCTGACAGCAAGTCTCCCAGTTCCAACCCTTATATATATATATCAACTCCTCCCAGGGAGTTGTTCCTACTGACATCCCAGACAGAATTTCTGACCAGGAGACTTAGATAAAAACCAGAGCATTTCTAAAACTTATAGATGAAACAGGAAGAGGGATGGGAAACCTTTCTTTCTCCCTTTCACATTTTTAACTACTGAATCTCTAACTTTATTTAGCACCACCTTCAGGTATTAAAAAAACCAGTCAGCCCTTACATTCCTAACTCTTGTGTGGTGATTCTGGTGTCAGGTGTTTGGGTACATGACACCATTGTGCTTCAGTCCTTGCATTGGCAACTGCGGTGAGATTTGTCACAAGGGAGGCTCCTTGTCTTAACCCGCCCTCACTGTTCATGCATCTGGTGACAGGAAATGTCCCATTTACCTAGATGAGAAAGCTGTTCAGGAACTTACAGTGCAAGACAGTCTCAAACTACAAAAAACAAACTCCGTGGGTTTAGTCTGCAAGTAAACTATACTGACCAAGCAACTGCTGCTTGTCAGCGAAGTTAGTGCCAACTTCACCTGGTAGAGGGTGTCGCATGGTCAGCTCAGCGAATCCCCATGGCCGTTAATTTCGGTTTTCTAAATCAGAGCTGCTATTTCCTTGAAATAGCTTCTCAGTTATCCTCATGAGACTGAGTTGACCCTGTTCCAGACCCACTTCTTCTCAGAAAATCTGGTAGTGCCGGGAATCGAGCCCAGACCTCTAGATATTTAGCCAGGAACTATGATAACTAGACCACAGAGGCATTCATGTGAGACAGTCTCTCCTTTGATGATACCCAGAAGAAGTTCCTGAAAAGCAATCCAAAAGCTGGGAGCCAATCATATGCATGTATTATAAACCATCCTTGAGGAATATGTGGCAGCACAAATATTTATAAGCCACACCCATTATGCCACTTCATTACCAGGCATCACCACATTGTATGCAGTAGTTACCAGCAAGGAAGAGACATCTGCATAGCTGGAATATCTGTATAATCCTGCTGTCCCTGATACCAGAATGTGTCTTCATCAAGCACTGCACACAACACACATACATAACAGGTTCTGAACTGCAAGTGAGTGCACAATGGAAACCCCTCATAACAAAACAAATTTCCTATTCACATTCATTTCTTTAATTTCTATTTTAATATTATCCTCTCATATATGGCTAAATCATTACAGAGAACTGTTTCCTTCAGATTTTCAGACAAGAGTGGTGTCATGCTGGTTGAAGAGGTAACAGTTCAGACCTGTGTTCAGGAGTTGCCTCTTTCAAATCCCAGCCTGTATTCCTGACTGCAGTTTTTCAGTCTTCTATCACTCCAGTTAAAGGCCAAGATAGTACTTGAAATGAAGCAGTGACTGTTCCCTTCCATAATGTTTTCACTTCCTTATTTGCTAATTATCCTATCATTTGACCACATATAGTCAGAATTATGATAGTGTTGTTGAAAAAGCTATGCATAAATAAAATTGAAATATATTCCTTTCTCATATTCCCTGTATTTGCTGCATGCCTTTCTTCTTTCATCCCTGATTTAATCATCCTATACATATTTGGTGAAGAGCAGTCTTTCATAAAGTAACTGAAAATCTGTCCTTATATATCTGGTGTTTGTGTTTTGGTGCAGGAACAACAGCGTGCTCTTAAAGCAGCCCAGCAATCTGATAAGGTTTCTCAGGCAAGATCAACAGCTGTGGTACCAGCTGCGATATCTAAAGAGAAGCAGCCTGGGAAGGATGTGGATGACGTAAGATGTCACTTATGTTCACTATTCCTTATTTATGCTATCCTTTATTTCTTAGGGAAAGAAATTGAACATGACAAGTTAGGGTAACAGCCAAGAGCAAGATTTGTTATCTTTGTTGTTGACAGTGTAAGATACGAGGTTTTCACAGTGACAAACGATTGGATGGTGTAAGATTGAAGATTCACACAGAGGTGGTTATGAAGAGTTTTGTCTGCTGGGATATAACACTGTATAGTCTGTTGAAATTCAACCAAAATTTTGTACAAACATATCACTCCTGCCTTGAGGGTTGAATAGTAAGCCAAGCAAGAAACGACTTGAAGCAGGCAGCAAATAAAACACGTGGCTTGCAAAAACTTGGGATTTTATGGAAAAAGATGGGGTGTGAGAAGCCAGCCTGTCAGTTCCTGTTGGCTTTGTCATAGGGCCAAGGCAGATCAATATGAGACGAGGGGAGTGACTAGGTTTGTCCCTGAAAAGGACCATTTTAGCAGATGGGAGTATGGGAGGCAAAAGTTGTAGGTGCTTGTGTAGTGGGCTGAGAACCAAGGAAGGTGGGAGAGAAGTCTTGTGCATGGGTTGTAGGCATGTGGTTGGGAATAAGAAGAGTGAATACAGTGAAGGAAGGCCAGGGATGGAATGAAAGGCGAGGGTTGATGGGTGCCTGGAGAAGGCAGTATTGGCTCCCAGATAAGGTGAGGCTGAACTGCTACATGTATGTATGTGTGTGAGGTGTGGGCCATAAAATCCGGCCCTTGCACTGTGACCTTCAGTGATCTATTGTACTTCCCCTTTTGGATTAATCCTACACTTCGATTGAAATGTAGGACTTTATTTATGGGGGCATCATAAAAGTCACTTGGTTCCATGAAGAATTAACCAGGTACCAAAATAAGCTATGGCCTCACAGTCACGGGTTAACTTTGAAGAACCTTTGTAGTTTTCATATTGTTGCTCATTTGTAAACCTTGAAATATAATAACCTTTGGACAGTAGTGTTCAGTGCTCTGTAATGACAGAATGGTTGTTTGTAAGAACTGCTGTTATGTAATGGTGTGTGATGTTGTGTAGTTCAGTAGTTAGGTAGCAGAGTTATGGAGGAAACTGCTGCTTTCTTCTGTGCAGAAACCTGAAGACATAGGCAGCCAAAATTTTGGCTTGTACTTACCAAACTGCAAGGTCTCATCCCAGAAGATGTGCACCACTGTGAGAATATCAAATTTCACCCATATATAGTTCTTTTGTTCAGTGGGAAGTGGGGGATGCAGGAGTTATAACAATATCTAGTGTCCACAGAGTTGCAAATCATCAAGATCTTTTTTGTATCTGTATACTGAAGGTTTGCAAGAAGGCTGTGAAGACTGTTCAGGTTACCAAGCCAAAGACATCTGAACACAGAGTCAAGTTATTCAGTCATCTTTATCATGATAGAGGACCATTGGCTATCACTGAAAATTTGATGTAAGTACTCTGTTATTTTCTCACTGCCTTCAGAACTGATGAGGTTAACTGTTTGCTGAAAATTGTGTTGGTGCAGTCTGAATTAATTTGGTGTAGATCCACATAATTCTCTCTGGCAGTATAATCGGTAGTTTTAATGCTCGTAAAACACCTCTCACAATTGGACATGATGTATAGCTTGCTCCATCAAAGTTATATATATAAAGGTTTCTTGTGATGCTGTAATGCAGTAACCTTGACTGCTATGCTCTTTTAGGCATTGCCTGTTATCTTGAGTTGTTTTAAACAACATTTTTGAAAATGGATATGTTTCCATTGTCTTGTGTAAGGAAGGAAAAGTTCCTACTCAGCTGGGCCCATCAGTCACTCAGGGTTCAGTGATTGAGACTGGCTCTTTCTAGCAGGCCCAGCTGAATGGGAACCTTCCTTTTCTATAGCTGATCATGGAAGCAGATCCAGTTTCTGAAAGATGTTGTTGAAAACATCCCAAGACTATGGGTAGTATCCAAAGTACTGGTTATGGTTATTGTTGCTCCATATACTTCCATCCCCACAACATTTTCCCTAAGGTTAATTTTGTGTTATACATCCATTTCTTTCTAGGTCAGTGAAAGTTTTGTATGTATTTCTCATTATAAACCCCTTGATTTCATTAACCTGAAGACACCATGTGACATGTAGAAATCATACAGTTATTCCAACTTTGCCACTTTATCCCTCTCAGGGCCATTCCTTATATTACAGTTATCAGGGACCAACAGACATTGGCTCAGTTTATCAGTGAAACAGAACTTCTCACCAGGCTCTACTCAAACCATTGTAATTTATTTGCATTGACCTACTTAACATCACATAACATGCAAGGCATAAACCTCTACATTTGTCAAGGCTATGTTCATATAAACTTCAGTGAATGTGAAATTCATGGATGTTGGGACCATAATTCAATGGGAAAACTGGCATTAGTATTATGGCAATACAGAACTTAGGGAGTGAAAAGGTAAATATGTGGGAACATAGACAGAAATTATTAAATAATAATAATATTGTGATGAAGTCAGTCCACATTCTCCAGAGGGAATGATGAATCAGGTTGGGGCTGGCCACAAGATGCTTTGGGCTGTAATAAACCTCTTGATGGTGATCTGTATTGCTGTTCTCAGCAGTTCCTTTTGAAAATCAAGGTAAGGGAGGATGTGACCTCAGTATTTCCCTTAAATCTGATGTCCTCTGTGTTACAGGATCACATTCTATTGCTTTTTCTATCAGTGCTCACTGCAATTTAATTATTCCAGCCAGCGCTTTGAGGTTGATAGTTGATTTAGCAGCACATGCCAGCGTGGCTGTATACCAGGCTGCCATACTGTGGTGTCAGAGTCTCAGACTTGCAAGGAAAAGGGGGTGGAAATGTAGAGTATGGCATTCATTAAAATGTCATGGATTTAGAAACTTTGTGAATGATGTCGTGAACACAAAGGGTTTACTGTACCGTAAATCTTTATTATTTAATATGTATACAGTATAATTTACTGTTGTGCATCTGTGGAGAAATGAAAGAAAAAACAAAATTGAAGGGAATTTTAATGAATAGATTCAAAGAATTGTCCACTTATTGGCCTCGATATTCCACTTCTCAAGGGGAGTAAAAGAGAGGATTTGTTGTACCTTAGATATCCCAATCTGTGGTGACGCTGATCTTTCTCTGGTTCAGGACTAAAATGTTTTGGGATGTGATGCCATGTTTGAGATATAGGTGCCAATGTTTCAAAGGAATATACTGCCTCCAAAACATTGCCACATATCTAACAAATTACATGTGTCATCCAAGAAGATCATGATCTAGATGCAGCACTGTCTTTTAGGAATTCAACACACATTTGTTAACTGACCTTTATGGCTCAATGCAGTACATTTAGTAGCACTCCTAGAAAATGTGTCCATGTCTTGAAATTTTGTAAGGCATCCCATTTTTCCCATTCCCAGATATCCATAAGGGCAAAATTTCATAACCTGAACATCAGTAACATGGTGATACACTGTTCTCATTTTGTATGAAGAAATGGATACGTGTTGTCTTCATAAGGAATAGTTATTAAGCAGAGTGGTATTTGTATGAGCATTAGATCAAATATGTTAAATGTGTAAAGATGATTACATGTGATTGAGAATACACTTTGTCAGAAAATACTTTTACGCCATGTTATAGTTGTGGAAAAGTGATCAGTTCATATTCAGAGTGCAGCTAGTGAAAACTTTAATAATGTTAATTTAATGTTGTTATTATTCTGTGTTTGTGTTTGTATGCAGTGTGGACTTAGGGATAGTAAAAATCCGTTTAAGGGAACCTGCATATTGCAGAGTAATTAGGTGAACTCATGTAAATTACAAAGAGGCAGAGATTGCAGGATATACAGCTCTCAGAAGACAGAATACGATACCATGGTAAGCAGTTAAATAGGGCAGTAGAACAACTGGCTTAGTGAAAACTTGCTGTTATATGTGGTAAATACTGTATATTAGTAAATTCATTAAGCTAATCTTCCAATTATATACTGTTGTAGCCTCTGTGGTCTAGTGGTCAAGGTTCCTGGCTACAGATCCAGAGGTCTGGGTTTGATTGCCAGCGCTATCAGATTTTCTGAGTAGTAGTGGGTCTGGAATGGGATCCGCTCAGCATCATGAGTATAATCGAGGAGCTGTTTCAAGGAAATAGCGGCTCCGGTCTAGAAAACCGAAATTAACAGCCGTGGGGATTTGTTGCGCTGACCACGCGATACACTCTATCCACTAAATTTGGTACTAACTTTGCTGATAAGTGGCGGTCGTGTGGTTGGTACAGTAAGCTTGTGGACTAAAACCATGGAATTATATATATATATAGGTCACAAATATTTTGAGAGCGAACTGAACAATACTGAACAGGCCTTCCTCATGCATGCTGTGCTTTATAGAATAAATAATATGTTTATTTTTTGTGTGACCTTGATACCCTGCTGTCCTAGATTCGTATTTTTTATACAAAACAATGTAGTAAACTTCATATTAAATGAGGACTTTTGCATTTCATTTCCATGGAAACCGTGTGAGAATGATGTGGTGACAAACCAACGAACACCCCTGCCAGTTACAGTAATTATATAATAATATTTTTTGTAGAGATTAATTGTACATTCTGATAAGTGTATATATTTTCAGGATGCATTGTCCTGACTTACATCCAGCAATAGTGAAGCTTGGAATGCAGTATGCTGACCGTGTAGTGGTGGGGTCAAATGCTCGATGCATTGCACTGCTTGATGCCTTAAAGCAGGTAACAGAGTGTAGTATTATGGCTCCTGCATAATTGCATTAATAATATATGGGGTTAAAGTAAAGTGGACAAAGTGACGCTGGGGCAGGTTTTTTTCCCAAGTACTTTGGTTTCCCCTGCCAATCTTCATTCCACCAGTTGCTCCACAATCACCCTCACCAATCATCTGGAGCTGGTACAATAGGCCAGAAGTGGCTGCAGTACAAGGGACTTAGTCCCACCCCACTAGCAATAAAAAAAAAGCTCTTCGTATATATAATTAATTAAGCACCACACCATGAAAACACTGGGGAGTGGAGGTATAGCTCCATCATTCTTGACCTTGGCATTAGGTGGGGGAGAGTGGTCAGCTTCATGCCCCTTCCACATTATCCCCAAGGAAACAGAAGCCAGTGCCCATTGGGTAGAGGGCTGAGTGGGCTCCAGAACTGGTCTGGATGCTGTGGAGAGAAAACTCTCTTGCCCATGATAGAAATTGCCCATCTATGTAGCCCATAGCCTGTCACTGTACTGACTGAGCTAGCCTAGCTCCCATTACTAACGTGTATGTGTGAAGTTCAGATTGTAAAGTAAACTAATTTATATTTATAATTTTTCTTTTAATTTCTCTTGTATGTAATATGTATATGAAGATGTGCTGTGATGGTGAAAAAATTGATCTGGAGATTTTGATGGGTTTACTTTTTTTGAGCCCCTCTGAAGACAAAAGAGTGGTTTTTGGTGTTCTGTCTATAGGTGTGCCTGAATGGGCTAATGGATTTTGCTCATATTCACTCAAGAGTTTATGTATCAGGTCATTGCCCAGTGATTATGAAGTTTCATGCCTAAAAGTAGGAACCTTTCAGATAGGCCCAAAATTCAGATTGGGAACATTCTCAAAAAATGGCTCCTACAGTTTTGACTAACAATATGTGGAGACATATGCCCAAATAGAACATAAGCGGTATCTTCAGAAAAATAAAGGTTGTAACTAGATTTACTGCTCCATACAGATTTTACTGTTGCTTGGTATTTAGCAATCAACAGTGGTCTACCAAGCAACAGTTAATTTTGTTTCCACAGTAGCTAGGCTGGGGTTAATCATGAGAAAGGATATGCAGAACCTGACCTCAAATGAACAGTAGCATGTGTAAACCAGAAGGACAAATTATAGCCCTTTGGCTTAGCATAAGCATTAAATTGGGGTACAGACTTCATGTAGGGACTGAATTTTCATCCATGAAATGCAGGTAAACCTCTAAATTTAGAGAGATTAAAACAGGGTAGTTTGTATACTTTGTATATGGGTATTTTTCTAGGACTCCAAAAAATGAACACTAACTGTGAGAGAATCTTAAATTTGGATTCCACACTGTCTTCTTTGCTCACAGTGCAGAAAACAAAGACAGTTTTTGATTGTATTTATTCATCTTTGAAATTATTCTAAAGATTTCATACAAATTTGGTATTCAAGGCATGCATTAGCCCTGAGTGTCTTCATTCTTGAATTCAATATGATCCCTGCTTTACATGAAGTCAAATTAAGCTTTATTATTTTTCTAATGAAAGTCTAATCACACAGAAAGATTATAATTCTCTTCAAGGTTTACAACTTTTATTTGAAACTTTTTCTTATTAGAATAAAACAATGTGTTATGATTCTCTGCATTATGATAGAGCCAGGATAGCTCAATGGCCATGAAGGAATTAGAATCTGATTCCTGGCAGGAGGAAAAGACTTTTCTTCTCCACAGCATACATCCCAATTCTGGGGCCCACTTATCCTCCTTTTCAGTGGATACTAGGAGCTCTTTCCCCAAGGTAAATAGGCAGGGCATCAGGCTAACCATTCACCTCAATTTAGTGTTGGAGTCAAGAATATCTAGATCTGTACTCCACTCCCCATACGAGGTGTATTGGAAAGTTCCTGGACTAGGTCAGAAAAAGAATGTTGGCTTAACTTACTCAATTTTGGGAATGTATACAGCGATCCCATCATTTTCTGTATGCTTCAGAAGCACCGTGGAAGTCATTTTCCTTAATGCTGTCTAGTACCACTTGCAGTTCCCTTTGGAAGTCACACATTGTTTCAAAATGATGTCCCTTCAGTTTGATTTTGGGAAACACAGCGAAATCAGGAGCCTAAGCCCGGTAAGTAGGGAGGAAGGGGAATGATAACCATGTTATTGTTAGTCACAAACTCTGTGGTTTTCAGGGATGTGTGGGTGGGCGTGCTTTCATGATGAAGGAGCCAGTTGTTGCTGGGCCAATGTTCTCCTCTTTTTCATCGCACATTTTCTCTCAGGCATCTCAAAACGTCACTGTAAAAGTCAGAGTTGACCGTAATAGTAGGAGGAACAAATTCACAGTGAACAATCCCCTTCACATCAAAAGAATAATGAGCATGTTCTTTGTTGAACCTTAGACCTGCTGCACCTTTTTTACTTTTGGTGATTGTGGGCTCTTCCACTGTGATGATTGTTGCTTTGTTTCTGGATCATAACCATAAAACTAACTCTCGTCACCTAGACATAAAAGTACGCTTCTTGTTAGCCTTCTCTCATAGCTCAAGACACACATTTACATGCTGCTGCCTATGATCGTTTGTCAAAAGTCAGGAAATAAACTTCGCAGCATTGCGGCACATGTTCAGATTTTCTGTTGACATCTCCTGGCAAACTCCATAACTGATCACAACCATGTTTGTGAGCTCATGGATTGTTCAAAGATGATCTTCATTAATTAGTTCTCAAATTTTTGCTGCTACTTGGTCGCCCTTAACGTTTGTCATCTTCAGCTGACACTCAACCGGCCTTGAAACATGAATATCATTCAGAAACTGCTCTCTGTCTTAAGGGATGTTCTCCAGTAGCCCCATGAAGCATTTCAGGGGTTTCAGTAGCAGATTTACTGAGCTCCATGCAAAACTTGATGCAGACACGTTACTCGATTTTGCCATCCATCGCAGAGTTGAAGAAGTTGAAAAAGCACTCATGTAAAAACATGTGTGTTCACAGCGTGGATCCACATGGCAGACTGATGCGGTAGGCTTGTGGAAGTGTGACCTCAGCCTCCCCTCTCATCATCTTTCACTGAGGCGGTTACTACAGTAACAGTCTGGGAACTTTCCGATACCATCTTCATATCTTGTTGCTCAGTTACCACAGGGCAACTTTGTTTTATGCAGTGTGGTCTCTGTAGTGTTGCACCAGTAGATATGAGTCTGTCATTGAGCTGAATGGTATATTGTTTCCTAGTCCATGTATGAGATCTGACTGATGCTTTAGAAAATAATATATTGTGACATGATGACAGAATAGTTTAACAAGAAGAGCTGTCCACTGCTAAGTAACGGTATAACAGTGTTATGGGGAAGGGCACGCGGTAGCGTAGTTGGTCGAGGCACTATGATACAAGCCGGAAGGTCGCGGCTTCAAGTCCCGATGAGGTTATTGGATTTTTTCAATTGACCTAATCGTTCTGGCTGCACTATGGCCCTGGGGTCGACTCAGCCTCTAACAGAAATGAGTACCAGGAATTAATTAAATAATTTTCCTGGGGAGTAAAGCGCGGCCGTCGTGTAAGAGTGACAACTTTACCGCCATCTTTGAACTGATTGTCTTGATAATGTGGGACCCTCAACGCCTCACAACCCTATGGGCCCTCACGGCCTGGTACAGGGATAGCTAAACCTTTTTTTACAGTGTTATGGGGCTAGTGGCTGGGTTTTAATTCAGGGGTAATGGTTTGAATATTGAAAATGCAACGTCTAGTCAGCTGGATCACAGGCATGCGCTGTTGCAATAACATGATCAACGAAGTTAAAATAAAGTATACAGAAATACTGCCCAGGCTTAGCGTGTGATCTTCTCTACTGCCTGACATGCGGCATGATAAAACAGCTCAGTTTTTTCTCCCGGTGTTCATGATTGCATAATTGTAATATTGCATCTATGTTACAGGTTATAAAGGACTATGAAACACCTCCCCAAAAGGAATTTTCAAGAGGATTGGAGGCAGAGTTACAGCCTTCAGTTGCATTCCTGGATTGCTGCCGGCCGCTTTCAGTTTCAATGACCAATGCTTTGCGATTTCTGATGTGGCAGCTGACACAACTACCTAACAATGTTTCTGACTCAGAGGTATGTATTCTGCTCTTACTAGGACATCAAAAATTTCTGATAGAAATGTTTTGGAGAAACCACCTGTCTCCACCTTCAGGATAGAACAGGGAGTCAAGCAGGGGAAGACTAGTGTGTGGTGTAGAGGACCAGGACTGAGGTTGTGAGCAAACTGATGGGTCTTACTGGTCTTTAAGAGGTTTCCTCCTTTCTCTGTGTCATGTATCAGTTTTTCTCCACTCAACTCACTGAAGGCAGAGGGAGAGCAGGTTCCACTAAAACATTAATACCTCTCTAGGCTTATATCCAGTAGGTGTTCAGTCTGAATTTCAGCTAGGACACACTCTATTTTGACTGAAGTTTTCTTGGGTTTTCTCAGTTCCTCCAGATAAATGTGAGGATAGTACCTTGATTAGGCCATGATTGCTTATTTCCCATTCATTTCCAAGTCAAAGTGCTATCTGATGCTCTATAGGCCAAATACTGACATCATTAATCAGTTAATCGGTATATTTTCTGTGTTCTTATCTCTCCTGAAGTGGGGCATTAAAATTCCCAAGACATTTAAATTTGTTAGTGCAGCATTTAATTTTATAATTGTTGCTTGCTTTTTAAAATTCAATCTTTCAACCATGTGTTGTTATAAAAGTATGAAACAAAAAGTCTCTGAGATACCAATTATTAGGCTTCATATATCTATATTTTCATTTATATAGCTGTTACATTAAAGTTTATATACATTTATTAGGAAAATTCTGTGCTTTGGGCTTTACTCTCAAAATATATTCCACTCTCACCACTGATGTGCATTTCAGTTCCTAGTTCATGTTCATAGGCACACCCAGGAAGGTGTGACACAATGCAATTGGTAGATAAGTACTAATATCTTAGAGAAATTTAACAGCCTCAAGAAACCTTGAAGACGGAGGTAGCTTGTTCCTCCAAAACACTGGTGCCTGGCTGCTAAATTACATGTCATCACATTACACAAAACCACAATCTTAACTAGGTATGTACTTAAGGTCTGAAAGTTTGTGACAATGGTATATTAATACTATTATTGTGTTTTATACATTATCCATTGTCCTGTTTTTACTTAAAACACATGGAGATAGGAACTAGCGCTCTCTAGGTGGCCCAACTAAATAGGTTCCACCTGAGGCTGGAGGCAGAATCCAGTTTCTGAAACAATGTATGTTCTAAATAAAAAGAGGATGACAGATAATTTCCAGAAACACAATTATAGGTATGTACTTAGTTTATCAAGGCCATCTGTGTTTAAAAGTTTTCTGTATAATCTCTGTATTTATTAAATCTGATTTATTAGGAATATTACTGTCTTCTGTAACAGGCAAAGAAGAAACTTTTGGAAGCCATTGATACATATATTCGAGAACAGATTGAAGTTGCCGCCCAAGCAATCTGCATCATGGTACAGCGGAAGATTGCCAATGGAGATGTTATTCTTACTTATGGCTGGTGAGTGTCATATAACAATGGTATGTAGTCTTTTGTGTGTTATTTTAATCATTAGAAAGTAACTACATAATATAACAAGTTCATTGAATTTTTATAATTGCCATAAAATCCATGAGATTTGTTTTAAAATGGCTGCATTAATTATGTACTCTTACAAGGTTTTGTTGTTGTAAACTGTTTGGAATTCTGTGTTCTTTGTATCATCCATGAACCTGTGCCCTGCCATGGTCTCCTCTTGTTGCTCATTTTGAGGCCTGAAATCAGAAGAGTTTCCGGGGTCAAAAGATCAAGCCTAGGTTCTGTGTAGACTATGTTACAAATGTTGTATTTGTCATTTCAATTGTATCATTTAAGTACATTCAGTCAAATTTTGACCAAGATTTATTTTATATATATTTATGTAATTGAATTAAGTCCAAAACACAATGAGGATCCTTATTTAGTTAATGGAATGATAATTGGATGCAGTTCAGCAGCTTAAAGCCGAACATTGTATGCCTGCCAATGGCCCAATATGAGGGTCGAACCATGTCGCATCCATAAAAGCTTTAATAAAAACAAATGTTGATGCAGTAGTGTCTTCTTTGTTTTAAAATACAGAGTGTTGTTGTATAGATGGCGTATTCTTGTATGCTTTATATCTTATTTATATATTTCTGCCTAATTTCATGCGCAGATATCTTAACATCAATATATTCAATGTGGAAATATCCTGTATATACAGTGCTGTATGTCATTGTATACGTCTTTGTGTTGTTATGGTTTATTATGCAATGGATACTACATTTTTTAGAAGTATTTAGGCAACAACAAGTAACGAAATTGGAAGTAAAATTTTTAGAGAATAAACTGGAACTAAGAACTTGTGCAGGGTTAGAAGAGAATGACTACAGTGGTTACTCCATGTAAAAATAGTGGATACATCAGGGATACTGAGAAAGGCATTAGGATTCAAATTGAAAGGGTAAGAGACCTGTGGTACAACCCAGAAGAAGATAGTTCAGTTAGATACTGAGAAAATCAGGAAGATAAGACAGGGCTGACAAGAAACTGAAAAAGACAGACAGTGGGAAGAGAGAAGAGATTGTGGACTTTATTCATTGGCCTCTATAAAAAGGATACATTTGTAGATTTGTACATTTGGCTGGATTGTTCAGATTAGTCTTCAGTATAAGTTAGTAGTTCAGACAGACTAGTTTGTGAGATCAAAACCTTTCCATAAGACTTCCTCTTTTATACCATATGTAAACATACTTGATAACTATTAATTGTTCCTAGTAACAACTGTTTAATGTTTTTCATAAGTCTTACATAATGTATGTTGGTCTACAGCTCATCACTTTTGCAACGCATTCTCTTGGAGGCACATTGTAGTGGTACCAAGTTCAGAGTAATTGTAGTTGATGGGCGTCCATGGAGGGAGGGCCAGGAGATGCTTCGTCGACTGGTGCAGTGTGGACTTAATTGTTCCTATGTACTTGTCTCAGCTGCAAGCTTCATCATGAGAGAGGTTTGTGAAGTGATACCACATGATGAACAAGGGTGTATTTGTTACAAGTATAGGGCTTGCATAATAAATCTAACTTTTACTGTTTAATGTCATTTTAATATTTTATTTTCACACTGCAAAAATATTTGTGTTACTGTTATTATATACAAATGTTCTCATGGCAATGACCGAAAATTACAGTCTTCCGTGGTGTGACACTGTGTAGTCTGGTAGATATTTACTGGCATTTCAGGGGAATATAATGTGGCATATAGACCTGTTTGCTAGGCTAAGCCCTTGAAACAAACAACCAGTACAGTCATTGCTGTGCAGCAGGCAAATAAACAAGTGGCTGTTTCTGAACAATGATTCTACAAATGTGCCTGCGGAAATGATATCTGTGCTCTCTCTAAACAGTCGCCAATAACAACAGTAAGAAAACTGTTGAAAGCAGTCTTTTCTGTTGTGTTCACCCTGAGGCTGTATAGTGAGGACCACAGGCTGGCTGAGTGAGTTCAGTTGTGGGATATTTGCTGAACAGTGATGACGTGAATGTAGAAGCTGTTGGAGACACAGCAGGCTGGGAGAACACTTACCGTGTAGTGATTTGTAGAGTGTGGAGATAGCGAGAGTGCTGTAATTGTAGCTTTGAGTGGTGTGTATAAGTGGCCAATAAATCCAATCCATACCCTGTGTATACGAGGGGGGACCCAAAAATAACCGGAAACGACCTGTTGCGCGTACATGCTTTGTAGTTATGAGTTGTGCTGCTAGGTGGTGTTAGCTGGGGGTCTCCCGCGACTGTTAGTGAGCTGGCGTCAGTCTGAGTTAAGTGGTTTGTCTGTGGTGCTCTGTTGTGTGCGTTCCTGTTTCAACCCTTTATCGATTAGTGAGATGGCCGACCAGAAGGAACAAAGAGTGTGCGTGAAATTGATGAAGATCGTCGAAAGACCATAGACCAACTTTCTGAGGAAATGAACATCTCATGGAGCACGGTCCAGCGAATTTTAACTGAAGGTTTGCACATGAGACGGGTGTCTCCAAAATTTGTTCCTCGCTTGCTCGGAGATGACCAAAGAGAAAACCGCGTGAATGTTTGCTGCGACTTGAAGAGTGAAGTGCAGTTTTCCCTAACAGAAAGCAAAATTTCACACACACTCTTTGTTCCTTCTGGTCGGCCATCTCACTAATCGCCAAAGGGTTGAAACAGGAATGCGCACAACAGAGCACCACAGACAAACCACTTAACTCAGACTGACGCCAGCTCACTAACAGTCGCGGGAGACCCCCAGCTAACACCACCTAGCAGCACAACTCGTAACTACAAAGCATGCGCGCACAACATGTCGTTTCCGGTTATTTTTGGGTCCCCCTTCGTATTCACACCCTTAAACCATGGCACTATCTTCGGGAGATGAAGACAGTATGATCCTTCAAAAAGATCAGTGTAAAAATCTACCAGATTTCAGCACATTATATACCAAAAGACAAGGTATCTCCTTACTTTGAATCATTTTTAGGGCCTCAGTGAAGGATGGCAACACAACCTAGCAGTTCTATCCCTTATCCCCCAGGCCCTTTTACAGTTTAACTGTTTTATATTAATTATACTTCATGCTGCATTGTGGATTGTTATATGGATTTTAGATAGGCGCAGGTAGCAGTAGAATCTGGTTTTGGCATTAAAAAAATGGATTATTATTATTATTATTATTATTGTTATTGGAGGGGGTGGATTTCCCCATGCATCACGACCAGTTGTTGATCTATTGTATGCCCCGCTTTGATATTCTACCAGTCGCCATACCCTACCGGTACTGATGCATGCTATTAGCCCCGCTCAGCCAACGAAGTCAACCTTCGTTACCTAATAGTTCCCCCATCTACCAGAGGCATTGGAAACTACTTGGGCGGGAAACTTTTTTTTGCATAATTTAGCTCAGAGGTCTCCTAGAGACATGAGGATCTTTTACGTGCCGTAAAGCTACGACATGGGACCCACGGCTTAAAGTCCCTCCTGGAGGACTTGTTCCCTGAATTTTTCCGCCCTTAAAAATTCCACGACCTCTGCCGGGTTTGAACCCGCGTACCTTGAGTCATGAGGTGGGAACGTTACCCCAAGACTACGGAGGCCGCTTAAAGAAATGGAATAAGAATGAAGGTTCAAATCCCAGCCAGAAACTACCACATCACTTGCACATTGCTTTAACCATATACATTGGAAGGAGTAACAGAGCAGAGTCCATGGTACAAAACAGAAAACTGACAGGAATATATATATACTAGACATGAGGATAAGTTCCTGTATGCTGATCATTTACCTTTGTATCATCCAGATACAGGTACAGAAGTCTTCTAGATGGTAGAACTTTCATGCTTGAAACAGTTATTTGTAGAACAGTGAATTTGATTTATTTAGTACACTAATAAAGTTGTCAACAATAAGTTGCAATTAAGATATGATTTCACGGATATGTGCTGTGTGGCTTTATTGTATGATGTCATTTGTTGTTATGTTTGTCTATGATTTATCTAAATACTTGGCTTTAAAATTAAACACTTGTTTCAATTTGCTCTCATGATGCTTATACAGTGCATTCAAATGATTCTTCATTCATAACCTTATAATGGTGTAATGACAGCGTAACTAGCAGAATTGCAAATGCACTTGATAAGCAATACATGACTTGAAAGACTTATTTAAGTAAGAGTATGTGTATATTGTAACTCTTGTGCATATGAAGAAGTGCACTGCAGAAATTTATGTACATGTTTTCCTGTTACTCAAGCCACATTTCAAGCTGACACTACACATACTGTGGACCAGTTAAACATCCATTACAGTTGCTGAGAGATCTGAATGTTATTCTCTAACTCATACTCTACAGAATTGTCACTTGAAGAAGAGTCCCTTTGGTCTGTTTGCTATTGAACAAAAGTGACAGAAGGTTTAAGAACCGTAGTTTCAGCATAGTGAGAAAGAATTTGAATTCTTCAAACAAGATTCCCTTTATCCAATGAAAATATGTGATATCAAAGTACCTAGATGTGTGGCAGTTGAAGAATATACTTGTTCCAGGTAACAAAGGTGTTCCTAGGTGCTCATGCACTTCTGGCAAATGGCTATGTAATGTCTCGAGCTGGTTCATCACAGGTCGCATTACTAGCTCACTCATACAATGTTCCTGTCCTAGTCTGCTGTGAAACACACAAGTTCTGTGAGAGAGTGCAGACTGATTCATTTGTCTACAATGAACTTGGTATGTATATTTAACACTGTATAATATTATTCCTCTTCCATTTGTAAGATATATCAATTATCTGTGGTTCCTCATGATGGTAAAAGAAGAACAGCTGTATCTTCAGGCATTCCGTCTAGATCAGCGGCCCTGGAAGTGTAATCCATGGGAGCATTCAGGTTTACTGGGATTATGAAAAAAAGTTCTTGGAAGAAATAATTGCCTACTTTCCTTTCACTACAAATTGAGTATTTGATATGACAAAGGAAGCAAAACCATATTATGTATGTATAAGCAAGTCAGTAAATCAGTACTACAACATATAAACTCAGTTTCTATAGAACTTGAATTGTGCTTGTATTAAAACAATTTAAATTGATAAAGTATTTGCCATGGCCTTGTTAGTGAAAACAGTGCACCATGGGAAGATGAGGAAAGGCTGTTGGTGAGGCTTTGTAAGAGAGGCTGCAGTGTTGGTATTACTGACAGGAGGGATTTATGCAGTATAGTGTTGAGCAGGTCTCATATTGTATGATGCATATGCCAAGTTTCATGATCGTTTTAGGGGCTCAAGCAGTATTAACCCTTTCACTGCTGTGGTCAACATATGTCAATCTCTAAAAAAACATAGCATCCTTGCTTTGATTGACAAAACATGTATTGTGACTTTAGAGTTTCAAATCTCAGGTTTCTTTGCACCAATCTCATTCAAACTTGGCAGGTGCATAGAGTTATGTATTGGGAACATAATGAAGCATCATTCATTTCAATGGCTGCATTATTCTGCCCTCTAGCTTAAGAAATGTAAAAGGTTGCATCTGCACAATGAGGCACGCGCTCCGTGGTCATGTGACGCGGGTATTTCACAGGGCTAGTAAAAATGGCTTCATATAGTGTGTAGTGCTTTCTATAATAGTTTTAAATAAAGTGACATAGCGATAAGACTGTGATATAAATACAGTGATTCTAGGATAGTAAATTATATACTTTTATCGCCATCTTGGACAACCCTGATTTAAATGGACTTTTCCCCCTGTGAAAAACACGTGCCTCCTGTCGTTCTTGGGAAAAAGGTTCCTGTGGTTGTTCCTTGCACGCTGTGTTGTTTTTACTGTTTTTTTAGTAGTTTCCAAACTGTATTTATGTCCCTCTGATGATGGTCTCTAAGGACCAAAACATGTAAGGGCAAGAAGAATTGAAATAAGGAAAATCTTCACCAGTCACACTGGACAGAACTGTTTTATCTTTTTATAACATGTATTTTGTTTTGAACAGGTAATCCTGATGACCTCATTCCGACAGATTCTTGTTCCAAGGAGTGGCCTTTGTCAAAGTGGAGGAGTATAGGGAGCTTGACCCCACTAAACCTCACATATGACGTTACGCCACCTGACCTTGTGACAGCTGTAGTCACAGAGTTGGCAATCCTTCCATGCACCAGTGTGCCCGTCATACTCCGAATCAAACCCACAGAAACCGGTTGCTAGAAACTTACTTTGTTGCTTGTTCAAATGGATAGAAATCTAGAAACCATATACAGACACTATATATTCCAAGATAATTATTAAACATTGTTTGAATATTATATATTTAAAAAAATAAGTAATAACTTTGTTGATTTGATTTGTCAAAGTTTTTCAGATTGTATTACATAATGTGTATAGTCAGTACTGCTGATGATATAGTGGTGAAAAATGCGCCCTTTGTAAGTGTCGTAACTAAGATTACAGTCTTCCCTAAATCACTTGGATTGTTTGTTTTATATTGTACAAGGCAGGTCACATTATCACTGCAGTTGTTGGCAAAGATAATATTTAAACTTAAGATACAAAACAAACTGAGGATATCCTGTGCATAAATGTTATGAGCAAGTGATGAGCTGTAGGAAGTAATTTCAACAATACCATGAATCATGAGAGTGGTTGGTTTCATAGGAAGTTGCTGTGTGCATCTTCAGGGTATAAGTAAGTGGAGCTGCGTTGTAGATGGGAATGGTGGAAGGATTGGGCTGAAGAAAATAAGAAGCCTAATGAGATCCCATGGTGTTAGAGAGGAGAGGAAACACTGTCTGGGTGAAAAGGAAAGGCTGTCCTTAGGGCCATTGCAGAGAAAATGATAAGTGGATGTTTATTGTTCTTCAAGAGAACCTCTTTTTTTCCAGTGGAAATAAGTGAGAAGCTTCAATAACCATGCTCTGGGGAAACCATATTCCCTGGTACTGTTGGTGGGATGGAGCTCACTCTCTGGTCCATGCACCTGGAATATTTAGTCAGGATACCGGTGTTCGGTAGATGGTTGCAGTGATGCAGGCAGATACAATGCCAACTGATTTGTGTGTATATAAAGATGGATATTTGCCCAGTGACTCAAAGTGAATATTATACATGTCCAGTGGTTTTAGGGCTAGATCATCATCAGTGGACCAAAGTATGTTAATGACTTCCCTGGCAGAAAGTTCACAACCTTACTGTATTACTGGGATAGGGCCCTATTTGTGTCAGTGAATGTAAGTCCTACAACAGAATTCTCACTGAACTGGGGTCTTCTCCTATGTGATTAAGACTGGATATCAGGGCAACTATAGGAATTCAAATGCATCCAAACAGCATCAACAGGGTAGATGATTTCTTTCACCCTTAGCAGGTAATAGAAACCTCATTCACACACTGAAGAAGTGAAATGATGTTCTCGTAAAGACTGAGGAATTTATGTCTGCATATCTCATGCTAACTATTGCAATGGTCCTGAAAAGAACCTTTACTGTTCCCCATTTCCAATTGGCCACTTTGGAACTCCATCTCCTGGCCCTCAGTCTGGGCTCTGATTGGCCATTCTTATTTTGCTCAACTTGATCCCTCCACTGTTTCCATATAAACCAACTTACATCCCAGCTCCATTCACTTCTAACTGAAGGTGGAGGCAACAGGTTCCTGTACAATGCCACACAGTGTCATGACCCAGAAGATGACATTTTGAACCATGAGAACTAAGAGAACTTCAAATCTCATTCCTGCAAAATTATTATTATAAAGTGTTGCTTTACAAACTGTAACAGTCTTAATGGAGAGGACAGCTGTAACAGCATCTTCAGTCTGTCTCCCAACTTCTGGAAATGGATATTGTTTCTGTTTCAGCTTGACAAATTCACTGTCAGTGGCAGCAAGCACTGAAGACTGATTGCAACATTGTACCTTAGTCATCAAAATATTTGATCTTTACATGACAGCTTCCTAAAGCCTTCTGATATGTCATATTTTAAAACTCACCATACATGTTACAGCTGCAAGATTTCTGTCTTCAGGGATATTCATTTAATTTAAGAGGGATATTAAAAGTTAAACTTTATGTGAATATAATTAAGTAAAATATCTCGTAATTTTAGTGGTGTCTGATGGTAAAATAATGATTATTTACAATTAACAAGTTAATTATATTAGTATACTTCTGTCTGTTACACATTACTGATAAATACTAAGAGTTCTCCCTCCCCAAACAGGTATTATCCAATTGCCACAAAGCCTTCATAGCTAGGGCTATTATTTTGGACGTTATCCAGCATCTTAAGTAGTCCCATATAGATGTTAAAATTCTTTGAGTCACTGTACACAGTCCTAGAAAGTGATAGAAAATTTTATGTTGACATTAAACATCAATAACATGAAACGAGTGAAAAAATGACAAAAGCTACAAGTAAAGAGGCTTGAGTAGGATTAATGTCATACAGTTGGTCACTAGAGACAGAGCAGAAAATGTGTTCTGTTAACATAAAACATTGCAAGATTTTAACTATACCGTAAGGAATTTTAGTTTCCTTTCCTTGCAGCTTTCATCATCATTTTGGGGGGTAGGGCATCTGTCCTTTGTCCCATGCTGACAGTATTTGATGTCAAACGGAACATTTTGTACTGTTGCATTTTAGAATTGCTTATAGTGACTCTGAAGGGTTTTAACCCAAATACAGGGGATTTCAGTTTCATTCTCTTGGAGTTTTGTTTTTATTTTATTGACATTTGTTTCTTATCTCCTGCCGCTGAATTCAATATCAGTGGAATGTATTCTTCATTCAGAATTTCTTTCAGTATCCAGTGATTGAGACAAGCTCTGTCTGATGTCAGCGGAGGAGGAATGGTTTCCTTTCTCATCATTATCAAAGCAAAAGCATTTTCCAAAAGGTGTAATTGTCTTATGCCGGCTAAGTAATCAAGTTTTTCTTTTCAAGCAAAGGCTATATGAATGTCTGTAAGCTTTAACATATGATTGTTATACTTCTGTGCTTCTTGATGCTTACAGCTAAGCTAAAATGTTGTGGATCTGAAGTTAGATGTTGCTTACTCATCTCTGAGGGCATGTAATACTTTGTGTAGGCAACCTTACATAAAAAAGGCCTGAATATTCAGTGATATCTCTACTGTTTTGATTTTGGCTCCAGTGTTAAAACTGTTAACTTTCTAATGATGTAACAATGTGTATTCATTATCTGATAATTATGGCCCCTCAGAGATGTTTACATACAATCTAATAGTTATTCCTGTAAAAATGTTTATGTTTTCATATGTGATTATTCTGGTGGTTTTATTTGCACACTGGTGAGAGGCTTTCTAACTAAGAATGTATCACAGGTAATGCTAGAATTTATGTGTCCATCTTGTAGTGGGACAAGTGACATTCTTGAGGCTGTTACAGGCACTGCCTTTGTAGCTCTCTTAATGCCATAGTCTTGAGGACTAATATTATTTATTATTGCCCATATAAAATAGTGTGTGTCTCTTCCTGCACACCCCTGGTTAGTTGTTTTTAGAAGTATAAAAGAATACTTGAACAATAGATCACAAGAAGGCCATGACACACTCTTCACTAGATTGCCAAAAGATTGTAGAAGTAATATGTTTGGTTACAATATTATCTGCCCACTTCCTGTACAGTAGAACAAAATGAAAGTCGAGGTCAGTGGAACTGTAGTCAATGACCTGAACAAGAAATCCATAATGTACATAAATATATATTTGAGCTACAAATTAACTACAGTGATTGTATTTAAATTTTTATATCAGTGTTCAGTTGACGTTCCACAGCATTTAGAAATCACCACATAGCATTAAATGAGGCTATTTATAGTCTTCAGATATCGCCTAAAAGAACAGAATGAAATTGCAAAAGTTGTTCATTTTGTGCTCAAAATTTTAGTATTGCCCTCCTGTACATGCCCAGTAACTTGGAATGTAAAGCCAAGCAAGAGTATATGTTTGTGTTTTGGGGAAGCCAGCAAGTAACTGCTTGAGCTATGGCACGACCCTAATATCCATTTTAATATTGTCACTGAAATTCTGTATGAATTTCATTTTCTGTCAGCTAAACTACTTAATAATCCCATTATATCTACAGTGTAACTGCCCTTACAGTACTATAATATGAGAATGTTTTAATCACAGAACTATGTAAATATTTCTGTTCCATGTGTAACTCATCTGTTACATCCATGTGTTTTCATTAAAGGTTTTCTCTGTCTTCTCCCAACCAAAGTGTTAACAAGTCCATTTCAATGTTCAGAAGTTCTGAAACTGGGTTTTTCACATGCTTTTAGGTTTTCCTATGTCTCTGTCCTAAGGGATTATGTAAGTAAGTTAATGCTGGTAACCTTGCATCCTGCTAACACATTCAAATTGAAGTGATACACATATGTACTACCATATTATCAATTTACAGTAAATCTCATGTTCTCCCATTTGCTTTTGTGTCTTGTAAGGTCACTTCTGTCAGTGATTTAAGGCATCTCATGTGCAGCTTCTGTTCTTCTTCTTTCCCAAACCCACATAACCCAAGTGTTATCATTCAGATTTGTGTTCTTTTTGTAGGTCATGGGGCATGTCAGAATGACAAAAAGATATTTGAGATTGTATCTCATTTTTCAGGTGGAGGAAATGATTTAAGCATTCCACATTTTATACCTACAACTTTTCCACAGTGTATAATTTGTATCACTGCAAGCAATCCTTGTAACCATTTTATTTTCAGAATCGTAATTTGCATACATTCAAGCTGTAATTTTGTACCCTTCTGTCTTTCAGTAGACAGTTTACAAGTTGCACTCATGCACATTTTTATATTTTGAGATCACTGTTCTCATTATGGCAAGTAGTTCTCGTCGGGTGACACAGTAGTTTTTCTCTGCATTGTTTAGCATCTTGCTGTAGTAAGCTATGACATGCTCTTGTCCATCCTGTATTTGAGAGAGTACTCCCCCAATTCCGACATTACTGGTGTCTGTGTCCACGATGAACCTCTTTCCTGGTTGGGAGTAGGCAAGAATCGGGGTGGCACACAGGGCTCTCTTGAGCATTTGGAAGGCGCCTTGCACCGCTGGGGTCCACTGAAAGGATTGATTCTGTTCGGTGAGTTTGGTTAGTGGTTTTGCAATGTTTGCAAAACTGGAAATAAATCATCTGTAATACGTGCATAACCCCAGGAAGCTCCTAACTTCATGCTTATTCTTTGGGGTTGGCTATTCCTACATGGCTTTCAGTCTCTCGGGGTCAGTGGTTATCCCTCTAGGTGATATGATATGCCCAAGGTATCGTACCTCCTCCTGAAAGTGTTGATCCTTCTCTGGATTGAGTTTTAGGCGGGCTTCCCAGAACCGCTGAAATACTTTTCGCAGGTTCGTCAAGTATTCTTGGAAAGTGCAGCCAATTACGATTATGTCGTCTAAGTAAACGAGACATGAATCGTACGTGAGACCTCACAGGAGTTTTTTCATTAGCCTTTCGGATGTTGCAAGAGCGTTACAGAACCCAAAGGGCATGACTGTAAACTGCCATAATCCATGACCTGTCAAGAATGCGGTTTTCTCCTTATCATCCGGGTGTACATTGACTTGCCAATATCCACTTTTCAGATCAAGAGTGGAGAACCAATTGGTTCCAGCCAGCGTGTCTAGAGTGTCACCAATCTGGGGCAGTGGAAAACAGTCTTTCTTTATAACATTGTTTAACTTTCTGTATTCCATGCAGAAATGGAGTTCTCCATTCTTCCTGACCAGAACGGCCATTGGCTGTCTGATTCCTTGATAACCCCATAGCGTTGTATGTTGTTGAGCATCTCATTGACCTCCACTTGCTTCGCTAGGGGCAGACTCCTTGGGGGTTGGTGAATGGATCGGGCGTCTCCCGTATCTATATGGTGATACACTTTATTAGTTCTCCCATAGTCTTCATTATTTCCAGCAAAAATATCTTCTTACTCGGTCAAGAGTTCTCCCAACTCATGAAATTCCTCGTTGGTTATGTGTGGTTTGGCTTCTGCAATTATGTCCTCCAGTCTTGATCTTGGATCTTGGGCCCGGGTCTGCGCCACCTCTGGCATAGTCACTAGCGAGACTGGCTCACAGTATGCCAAAGTGGATCTTCTCGTGAGCTTTTAGTCCCGACATGTAGCATTAAAGACCCTCACTGGTACCTCCTGACGGTCTTGAATTAAGGTTCTGGCTATGTGTATCTGCCTAGCCTATTTTCATGTTCCCGGCGCAGCTCATTATCAGCCTTCCTTTAGTTGGGGCAGTTACTCTCGATTGTTTTCCATCTCTTCATTGGGTGGGGGGCAATCGGTACTTCCGGTATGCATTAGTGTTATTTTCGTGAGATCTAGCTGCTCCCAGTATGGCCTGCAGCTCTAGTGCTTGTCAGCAGGCCTCGTTTACTGTCTTCTCCCCTCCCAGCCACAGCTGAATCTTGATGTCGGCGTCTCGTATTCTGTATGCGAAGGCTTTCCCTGCTTCTCTTCCTATGTGGTCTGCAGGTAGCGTTTGGTAGGCATGATGGCAGTTCAATGGTCGTGGCAAAGTCTTGCAGGGATTCTCCAGGTTTTTGTGTCCTTGTTCTTAATTGGCAGTGGTAAGCAGCTGCAAAGTGTTGGTCCCCCAAATGGTCCTCTAGTGCCTGAAGGGTATCCTCATAAGTCGTATTCGTCGGAATGCCGGGTAGCACTTCTGCCACCCAGCCCTTCAGAGCAGTAATTAGGTACGTCGATGTTTCCTGGCCTAACCATTGGTTGTGTTCTGCTACTGTCTCGAATTGTTGCCAGAACATGCTCCACATTGAATTTCCGTCAAGTGTCGGTGGGTGAGCTGTGCCTGCACCAACTGTGTTTTCTCTCTTGGCCCTCGTCTGTCTCGTCTCGTCCAACCTGGTCTGGAACTCGTGTTTGATTTCCTCAATTTTGTCTCAGGTTTGATTAAAGGTCTTCATTAGGTCTTCTTGGAGATTCCTTGTCCTTTCATCGAGGGACAATTCTGCTGCCTGTAGTTCCAATTGTGTTTTTTCAATTCTTTCCACTAGTTCGATCTGGAGACTTTGTGTCTTGCAATTATTTCATTGAAAGTTAATATTAAACACAACAGTAGAGATACCTGAATAATTCTTTCTTCTTAGTGTCTGCATATCAGAACTTCTTGGCCAAATAATTCCTTAATCTTCATACACAAATGTGTACCAGTAATTTATAGAGCTAAATGCTGAACCTACATTATGAAAGCCTCAAATCTTACATTATATACATTATAGAAGTTTGGTTTGAACACCGTTTCTAGAAGCTTCTGTCTTATCAGAATTTATCCTTGATCATTTGCTAAGACGTTTTATGGGATCTGTGCTCACTAAAATGTTCATCTAATCGATAACTTAGTGTGTGTACCTTGTGTACGTAACCTAATGGAAGAAAATTCCTGTACAAGTCTAATTTCTCACAAGCATATGAATATCAGAAATTTATAGAATACATATGGATCGAACACAGAATATAGAGTCAAGGGAAAATGTTACATAATAACCTTAAGGGGGAGGAGCAAATCTAGAGACTTGTTTATAATTCAAACAAACATCTACCATCATTTTTCCATTGTCAGAGGAATCCACTGCACTAACAGGATCTCAAGCAAGAGGCAGAAATAGCTGACATTATTTAAACATCTTACTTAAAACCAGAAACTAAACATGTGATTATTAATGTAGTATATCCTGAAGTAGTAAATAGAAGCCCTATATATAAGTCTGTGCAGTCATCGAAACAGAACTTTACACAGATCTATAAATGTACAAAAATGTTAATCTTATCACCAACAAGATGACATTTAGTATCATATCAGGTCAAAACACCATCCATATGTTGCAATCAGTATACATTTTATAGGATTCCTTCACATAACTGGGAGTATCACACAAGGGTCAAATCGTTGAGAAATTGCATGATTATATCTTACATTATTTAATTTAATCCTTATTAGATGTTGATAATCACGTTCAACTCAATCTGTCAGGAAATAAGCATTTTTCTCAGATGTTGATTTGCAATGTAACCACTAATTTGTTTAACTTCTTTATTAAAACCATCACAACACAACTCTTATCGAGGTCAGTGCCTAGTTTTGGCAGAGCCAAAGAATTTGAAGTTGTATATTATAACACAACAGGATGAGTGAAATGAAAATCACTAATTTGTTGCTATTGTAATTTATTCACTTAAAATCAAATATGTAATTCAGACAGTGTCTAGTTTTCATTGCACAGTGTTGCACAAACAAATTGGCTAGCTGCAGAGTGAGAATCCCTGGCAGCTATTTCTATTGCTTCCCATATATAATACTGTTTTCCCTATCTCTTGCAGTTATACGTTGAAGGAACAACATGTGACTGTCTGAAATGAGAAAAAAATAAAAATATGATTACTGTATATAAGGAACTGTTTTTCAATTTGCTGATGATACTGAACTGAAGTCAGAATACGAAATATAAATTAGAAAAGTTCAACTAGTAACATGGTCTGTTTGCTCTTTCTGTAGTGGTAGTAATGTGATAGACTTTTGTGCCATTTAAACTCTGACATTTAATTGAGCATCATAATAAAAATACAACATGAATTTGTATTATTTATCAGTTTAATAAGTTTTTTGTGCTGTTGTCATGAAAAAAAAAATAGAAACAAATTATCTTGTTCTGATACCAGATGACCTCTATTTGCCTGCAGTTCAAGCCATGTTACTGTTTTAGTCTTGGCATGTAACTGAACATTTACAGCATGCTAATTAGTTTTTATAGTTTTGTGTAATGAGGGCTCAGCATGAATAGTATGTCAAAAACATTGCTCTATGTTCAAGTTGTGGTAGGTGGAACCTGCTGACTCCATCTCCAGGGTCCAAGGGCAAAGGGTAAACATTGTAGCCGTAGCGATAAGAATCTGACTAGTCAGAAGCGAAGTAGAGGAGACCCCTGTCTGGGCCAGTAGAATCATCGGGTCTCAAGGAGGCTGCAGGTTCCTCTGAAAATATTATATCTGCATACGACGACAGCCCAGAACACTGCAATATGAGCAGTCACGGCAATGAAAAAGAGGAAACATCTATATATTTTTATGTTTAAGAATTTCAACTTGATATTGAAAAAACAAGCTTTGAAATGTAAATTACATGAGTTTGTTATGGAAAATTAGACTAAAGTAGAAATTATAATTATAAACTTATAATTATTTAATTCCTGTACAGAGGAACTGATTGCCTACATTGTCTATAAATATGCTGTGTATTTATTTGTATGAAAAGAATTGCTTAGTTGTAACATCCTAAATGGTGAATGAAGTTATAGACTAACAGTACATGATTACAGTCTCTTCATTTGTAACTACATTGACATCCCTTTTCAGGATACTTATCAAGCAGTTATTTTCGTTTTTTGTATATTTGTTTCTCTTTTCACTGTATGTGGCAATTGTCTTGAACGAAGTACGCAGCTGTCAATGATTATAATCGATGTGGTAGTATTTGTACGCCGATTAGAGCCTGAAGTTTGCTGGTCAAAGTCCCCACGTTTCTGCGTGACTCAAACGAGTGGATGTTTGTTAGCTGCAATGAATTTAACCTTGCACTTCGAGATTTCTTGCACAGAAGAAAGTGCTGTAAATCACGCAGTCCTTGCAGCTACCAACTGGTTGTTAATCTTTCATTAATCGGTCTATTCCCTTTCTTTATTTTCCTCTTTCTTCAGTTTTCTTCCTTTTTCTTGACGCTTCAGCCCAAATCAAGCTTTGCCCCTCTCTGTTGTACAAATTCCCCGAATCCTTATTGAGGCCACCAGTGGCCTTGAACGGGGAATCAAAAGGACTGTATTCGTAATAAAGGAACTGGTAAAGCGGTCTGGCTCACTGTTTCACATTGAAATGAATGGCTATTCATTTTGACATGAACCCGTCCTCTTTATCTAAAGGCAGTTTTTGCGTTTTTAAATGAATTTAACGGCAAATTCTAGCTCACTGATCGCATTTGTTTAGAGAAACTGACGCTTCTACAGCAGAGATCGGAAACAAAGCGGCTAAAAGGAGAGAGTGCTGTCTTCTCGGGTCCCGTAGGATCCATCACTTGCTCTGTTTGTTACCTAGTTTGTTGGCATCATGCTTGGCGTAATCTTCGAACCTGATAATGGAGACAGCACGGTCTTGCGGAGCCGGTCACGGTAGCCGAACGGTCTAAGGCATGTACTGTCTTCGCTCGCTCGGAAGCCGGGATCATGGGTTCGAATCCCACACAAGGCGTGGATGTTTGATTTGTGTATGTGTGTGTGTGTGTGTGTGTGTGATGTCCTGTGTTTAGGTAGAGGACTTGAGACTAGCTGATCACCTGTCTAAGGAGTCTTACCGTCTGTAAAATGATCATGAAACTGAAAAATCAGAGGCCAGGACCCAAGAAGGCTGTAGAGCCAGCGGAAAAAAAAAGTCCTGCGGAACATCGGTGGACTGCACTTTGTTACATCCCAGAAGACAGTGCTTTTCACAACCACCGCTGTGTTTCTTTCTTGGCTTTTTCTTTGACCCTAAAAAATGGGGGCGACATGTTCCTCCGAAACTTCAGTTGACTTTCTATGGATTGCATAGCATTATATCCCGGAATGACAGAACACTTCAAGATAATTTAAAACTCAACATGCGTGAGACTTTGCATCTACGGCCGTGCATAATCTAACGGTCAGAGTCTGACTAAAATTCTAAAGAAAACAGCAGTAGGTACAATAAAATCAATTACAGGACGTAGTCTATCGACCTTTAAAATCTTAGATAAGACAAAGATACATAAAAACATAAATCCAACAAATACAGAGGGTTAAGGTTCAAAAAGATAAAATTTCCTGCGTGTAAATGAGCTAACAGCAAAAAAAAAGTGCCGATAATTGTTAAATAAATGAAACATCTCTATAATACTTAAACTGGACTGAGCCGTAACCTGCTGAAAATGGGAATCCAGATGGGAGAGGTGCCAAGTCTTGGTTGGCTCATCAGATCACCTACCACAGACGTGTGCTAATTCCTTGTATTTTCTGTAGGCTGTGTTCGATGTTGGGCTAATTTTGATATTTCAAGCAGACCTTGGGTTATGTTATATTTGTGCTCCTTAATGCGTACTTCTAAAGGTATGATTGTTTTGCCGATGTCACATCTGACACAGTCACGTGGGATGTACACACTGCTTCATCTGGTGGGCATCTCTAATAGGTCCAGTTTAATAATTGTTCTACGGAGTGTATGTTTAATTTTGAAAATATTCCTAATATTGAAACTGTTCCCAATGTGTCGGAATTTGGGGGGAATGTCCATAAATTGTGGGATAACAACCGTACCATGTTTCTATATGAAAAAGGGCGGTTGCTCGACAATGCAATCAGTGAAGTGTTGTCGGTATTCACGAAGTGTCTGATCGTGCACAGCGTTCGTAATCCTTCCTATCCTGATACATGGCCTTGCCTGTATACATCAAGCTATGAAGAGCTCCACTTTTCCCGTGCTGGAGGTGGTCACACGGAGAGTGGACAATGTCCAAAAAGTAAATTGTTATGAGATATAATGTAATATGACGCCTGAAAGGCGAAATTGTGGAACCAAAAGAGACTTTCTTTTGCTAGGTTGCGGCACGGTAAACAGAAGACGGCGCTACTGACCGACCGACCAACCAAACGACAGACCCGTCCTCTCGTCAGAGAGGGCGTCCCACATCAGCAAACTCGCAACTGTCTGATAGTAACAAAAATCTGGTCTTGGGCCCCAAATGGGGTTTGGCACCAAGACAGAGTTACCGACTGCCCGTCGGTCGTAACATATGACTTTCGGAGTCGAGTAGTCAATGGTTAGCAGTCTCAGAAAGGAGCTACTGGGCCCTGACTTAGGAGCCATCGGCAGAGCAGTACCAGTCTGGAGTCGACGTTAGGAAATGCAGTCCTTGAGCCGTAAGGAAGTGAGGAATAGATGTTGTTAGCAGGCTGTAACTAGGTAAACGTCTAGTTGAGCTGTGAAGTAGACGCCAGCCAGCGAGGACCGGAGCTGTGGAACACGGTAGCTGAGGAATCTACGGTGTTGTAACCGTTACCAGGCGACAACCGGCGGAAACACGGCAGACTGGGATGGCTTAGTGGGCGCTGTGGTGAATTGCAGTGTGTGTGAATTAGCGATAGCGCTATAATTACATATATTTACTAATTATACGAATCCTATAATTCCAATTACCAATTAAAACCGGGTGTCTAGTTACCTAACAGGTGACAATACCATAGTCACGAAATCTGAGATCGTGATATTGACTGATCCTTTATACCAAAAATATGTCGGATGTTGTGTATTTTATGAAAAGGTCGCTGGGATAAGGCGAGTGGAACGGTAGTCTAGGGCCCAGCGCATCGACTTTGCGAAATATGCAACACTACTTACGCGCCGTCCTAGTGTCGAGGGTAGCAAAGCCGTACACTGTTTCTTTCAGTTCCAGTTCCTAAATCGATTCGTTCCGAACTGGCATCTCTACTAGTCTATCTGTGTTTTCGACTTTTCGTTATTAATACATCTTAATTACGTTATGCTTTGGAAAGTGCGTCACAACATTATTGTCAACAAAGTTACAGCTGTTAAACTTACCGCAAAGTCATAGATGCTAGTACAGACAACGAAATACGTGTACGCGTATGTCAGTAGACTAAAGAGAAGACGACTATTGGTCTGTTAACAATGGGCTCATCCGACGAGGTTATGTGTTGGTAACGCCCTAGATTTTTATCCAGGAGATACTGGCTTCAAGTATCAGCCGAGATACCGGTTATAATGGCAGATTTGTTCGTTGTTTTTCCTCATTCACTCCAGGCAAATATCGTATTAGTACCTCCGTTAGGCAACGACCACTGCGTTCCAAATTCTTTCCAATTCATTATTCACCAATCATCGTAACATTAGACGTTCAATTGCCAGAGATACGGATAGCGGCGGATAGGAAAAGGAAGAGAAGAATGCGCTACCCAATAACCGCCTCTGTGTTCTAGTAGTCAGAGTTCCTGGCTACAGATACAGAGGTCCGGGTTCGATTTCCGGCGCTGCCAGATTTTCTGAGAAGTAGTGGGTCTGGAACGGGGTCCACTCAGCCTTGTGAGGATAATTGAGGAACTACTTGAATGGAAAAGTAGCGGTTCCGTTGTACAAAACCGAGATTAACGGCCGTGGGGATTCGTTGCGCTGACCACACGACACCCTCTATCCGCTAAAGTTGGCACTAATTTCGCCGATAAGCGGCGGTCGGTCGGTCGGTCGGTATAGTTCGCTTGCGGACTAAAACCACGGAGTATTTTTTTTTTTTGCTTTGCTCTACCGAATATAAAGGAACTCAATAATTTAATCTCTTCTTTGTTTTAGTTATTTTGGGACACAGCGCCGTGCAGCCTGGTAGAAGTTCACCGACATTCCGGAGCAACATAGTAGTTCCATCTTCAGGGTCGAAGAGTAAACCAAGCAAGCGGCAAGCAGAGGTCACTTCTCAGAATCCAACAAGCCTGTTCTTATCGTCATCGCCATAAGAACCTCAGATCTCACGAGAAACAGTGAAGCTTCGTTTTAAATGGCTTACAAATTATTTTGTTTTTATCACTTAACAATTAATTGATGGAAACATCACAACCATGCATGAGCAAATCAGGACATTTATTTGACTGTGCGGCTATGTGCGGCACTCGTGCGCAGGCGCTAGGTGGCGATTTATATGAGGCAGTGAAGTACCTATTTCGATTATAAGCCTGCAGGTTACTGCCATTGAAGGTGGCTGATTTTCACTCGTCTAAAACGTCAAGTGACCCACATAAAGGCTAATTTGTCGCGAGCCCCATGTCACCCCTAAGGGCGCCTCTCGTGTGAGGCATATTTGCTATACACTGTCTTTAGGTAGTTGTTAGCTTGTTATTATAATGTTTGGGAGGAGGAGGAGGAAGGGGAGAGAAAGCCCCAATGCGTCATTGCACACGTTCGCTGTGTGCCTCTGGCTGCAAAGTACCATGACATTTCAGAAGCTGTGGAGTTGGCCTCAGTCAGCACTTCTCGGCGTTACGCAAGACTGCACCTTCGAGGGGTTTCGCGGACAAATTTACTAAAAATTTTGAAGCTTGAACTGCATTTAAATAGTATTTACAAATTCAGTTCCTACCTCATGGCAAACACATTTCCTAGTTACAAAGATCAATAGTTTTATACACAAAAATACATAGCGTAGGCCATGCTTAAACTTTTAAGTGTTTAAGCATGTGTATATTAGTTATCACTATTTTACCATGTGACTGCCATTACGTTCAGTATCCGCTAGTATC